AATAGAAATGGGAATAAGAAGGGGACTAGGACTGGGAATGGAAATGGGAACAGGTATAGGAAAAGAGATGTAAATAGAAATTGCAATGGAAATTGTAACAGGTGCAAGAGTAGAAATGGGGAAAATTATATAGGAATATGATAAAAATGAGATAATATGAAAAGTATTGGGGAAAGAAATGGGAATGAAATAGAAGCAGAGATAAGAATAAAAATAGAAATCTTAAGAGAAATACATATCAGAATAGGAGTGGTACTATAAATATGACTTAGAAGAACAATACAAATGGGAATATTAATAAAAATGTGAATAAGAATAGACACCGGAATAGGATTGGATATAAAAATGGAATTAGAAATGGGAATGACAATAGACATTTGGTGGATTAAATATTGTTTATTTTGATCAACTTATGTTAGCAACAGATACTGGCAGTGTGTGTGTGTGTGTGGAGCATACGCCAGTCAACCTTGGTGATGTGGATCAATACTATACTGTATATTCAGTAACAGGTGGATTTGAGGGATTCTGTTTTTTCTGATTTCCTTTCATTTTACATGCACAGCATTCACACATTTATGAAATCTGAGGAAATATATATCCGGAATGACTTTAAATATATCAAATCTCACTTGCACTTCGAGGCAACTCTGCTGTGTATCAATTTTGGCACGAAGGCACCAAGGGTATCCACTGTTTTATGGATGTTGTGTTTTACAGTATATCAGCTGTGACTCCAGAGGAAATTAAACCGCTGTCATTGTCAGTGCTTTGCTCTTCATTGACCTGCAGAGGAAATGGATCCCCTAAAACTGACAGGTAGGACAACACTTAATCACTGAGGCACACAGGAACAATACTACCTTTTTACAAAGCAGAGTAATATGGTCTTTGTTTTCCAGATTACTTGTATTAGTATATTTTGATTTCTGTATCTGTATAAGCAGCTCAGCGTTAGAGATGTGTGATTCATGCTATAAATGACCACTTATACAACCCGCTGTGATGTATTGTGCTGTATTGGAGATCCCTTCCACCACAGCACTAAGGGTAAATAAATACGCTTTAAAAGAGTAAATGAGCTTGAGCAAAGTGGCCCTTTGAGTCCCCATGTTTGTGGAGCAACCATAATGGATTCTTTAGACCCGTGAACGGTTTATAGGCATGACAGCCATGTTTCGGCACGATGGGCTTATCCCTACGCAAGGCGCTAAGGATATTAGGGAATCAGCGTAAAGCAGCATGGAAATGATGACTGGAGCAAAGCCTCAGCTCGCTGGTATTATAAGCCCTCAATTCTCCAGCACTCCATCCTTGGGAAACGGGGAAGGAGCGGACTTGGCACAGCCCCACGATGTGATATCCCCCATTATTTCTTGCTCCATCTCTTGTTTTAGTCCTACAATTAAAAGGATGTCACCCAATCTGGGGATGGGGCAAATTGAGAGGAGTTCAGTGTCGCCTATTGTGGTGTTCTCTTTTCAAGACGGTGCTAGAATCATTGTTGTCCATATGGAGATCTGTTGGAACAGTTGGATGAGAGCCAGCTCTCTAATGCCTGGCACTGAGCTACAGCCTCATATGAAGCATTGATGGCACATGCCAAGCATGAAAACAGACGCCCATAAGGTTCCCTAAATGAATTCACGTCATAGCACTGTTTTCAGTGCAAATTCCCCATTTTCACAGCAACTGTCAATGTTTGGTTCTCATTAACAAAAGGTGTATCTTCTCATTAACAGAAAGTGACTATTTAGTTTGCAGTCATCACAATGTGAAGTTACTGCAGTGACTTGCAGGGTTTACCTAAGTCCACAGTGTTCTCACCAAAAATGAATATCTCCACCCAATCCACCCACGGTGGCTCGCCTGTCAGAGACGGGCCACGACAGAAGGATGATTTATGTCCCACCTCTCACCCCCCACTGTAAATTAGAGACCATGGGTCGAAACTATTTTTCTCTGTGAGCAGGAGCACGCTTGTGGCTAAAAAACGGGGCAAACACTGTTTATCATCTGCCTGACGACAGCCCTCCTCGGGGCAAATTAACCACGCGGCCGTATCGACTGGCACGGGCCGGGAGTCAGTGCCCCTTCACTTTGATTAATCTCCCTGTGTTCCTGTTCCAACTCTATCAAAGTGATCTAAGTGAAGACACACAGCATTGATCTGTAAACACAGCATACTACTGTACAGAAAAAACACACATACACACACACACACACACACACACACACACTGAGAGGGAATCACTGGAGGTGAGCTTCTTCTCAAGTTATGATTAAACAAAAAAAAAGTGCTATTTGAATGGATGGACCTCTTTAAAATATCACATATTCTTGATTATGGATATCATATTTGATAGTGCTCATGGAAAAGTTATGACAGTGTTTTCATACATAAAGGTCTTAATACTCAGTGTTAACCAGTGTCGGAAACAACCACTTTCAGTATAATAAAAGAGACAAATAACTGTTTTGTCTCTAAAATGTCAGATTTTTTTTACCCCCTTTTCAGCTTACTGACGATGGATTTTTCAGCTAATCCAATGGTGCTTTTAATGGTTTAAGTTTCATCCTTTAGTTTATCTGACAAATTCAAAATATTTCGAGAAATAATTCAGTTACATAGAGAACAACAGAGAGCAGAAATACATTTGCAATATTTATTTTTATTCTTGTTCAAAGGTGATTAACAACTGACATAGATCCCCATTCGAAATAGTATTATTTATTCTACATGTAGTAGTTTAATTCAACCCATTTAACTTTATGTATAACTTTTTGTGGTAATTAAAAGATAAACATAGCAATAAAACCTAGGACAAAAGAATACAATTTAATTATTAAAAAATAAAAATAAATGCACATAATAACAGCTGAAAGTGATATATATATATATACATATGCAATGTTTCCATATTAAACTTTCCAGAGGGGTAAAAGAAGGTAAAAATCTGACATAAAAATTAGACTTACATGTTTTTCCACCATATCTAAGCAACATTAACTCTGAGGTTAGAGAAAGCACAGTGTCAGTATACGTACCTCAAACTGGCTGGGAAGGCAAATAAGAGCTAGACATGTACACGTGCTGTTGAGCAAGGCACTTGCCCTCCTGCTGTTCAGCATCATCGCTGTGGTTTTACAGAAGAACATGTGTCTCACTGTGCCTTCAGTCATCACTCCCTGCAGGAATGAAGATTATTTTCATCCCGATCTGTAAAGTTTTGGCTTAAGGTGGCAGCTTGTACTCATCTATTCAAGGAATCCGCAACACAAAATGTTGTGTTAATCCATTTCTGCACTGCCCAGCACTGACTGCACCGCATATGCAAAACAATCTGTTTTATGTGTAGCCGTGCCAACATGTTTGGCAGACAGTGACTGAGCATTTTTTATTGTGTTATTTCTGATAACTCATGTGGATCCGCCGCTTTAAATCCTGTGGCGTGACATTTACAACAGCCCTCCTATTGTCAGTGATTTTACAGGGAGGACAGATGGTGCTCACATGCAGCTCGTGTTAAACCGGACAGGGCACCAGAGCTTTAAAAAGTGCAATGCTATTGGGTCCCTTGGGTCAAAGTGGTTTCAGATAGTTGTGTGTGTTGGCAGGAATTGCTTGTATGCAAAAAACTGGCAGCAGACATTTGTAAAAGTGTGAAACATTGGGGGAAGGAGGCCAAAGATGTGCAGATATAGATACTAAAATGAACTTCTAACAAACTCTAACACAAGTGAAGTCAATGGCCTATAAATAATCTTATAGGCTATCAATTAAGCAGTCCGCATAATGTTTAAGAATCTTTTTTCTGTAAATATTTGAAGGTAAAATAGTAAAAAATGACACAGACATTTAGTCATTTTTTTAACCTGTAGACAAACAAGTTTTAAGTGGTTTTAGCATTTAAATTTCAATCGATGGCTGGTGTTAATTTACAACCTCAACAAAGGACATGAGGAATAGTTTTAGTGTGCCGGACCACTGCAGATTTTGCTTTCAGCTGCACCATGTGGCCAGCATGTTGTGGATTTCCATGATCATATTGAACCGCACACGTTTTCAATGAGCTGAGATTGTGATGCGATGTGGACTGACGTCTGAGAGATTAAAAAAAAAGCTGTGTAATTGAAACAGGCAATGTAAGTCACTATATTCAATTGTTTTAAAATGTTCTGTCCTTGTTGGAATTTACACATTTTTATTTGCCTCATTTGTCATTTTAGGCAGATTATGCAACTTTGTGGTCTGTTGTCATGTGGCTCGTGTTATCCACTTTATTCTCTTCTTTTCATTTTTTTGTGTTGCCGTCTTTGTTTTTTTCTCTTTTTTTGGTTTATAGAGATGACTTATAAACCCTTTTTTTAATTTAATTTCTACATTTCCTTTCAATTTGTGACGTTTTTTTATTGTAATATGTTACTGCAGCTTTATAAAACTACCTTATATGTGTTGTCAAGGTGTAAATGCACAATAAATTACACAAAACGACCTTGTTTGCTGTGTCTGTATCTCCAAGAAAAATCACTAAAACACTGTCATGATCCTAATTTCAAACTCAATATAGTGACATTCAGGATGTGGCTGTGTATGAAGTGTAAAAAAGGAGTAGTTTGTGATGACTCAAGGTTTTGTTTTAGTCCATTTGCAGACATTATACACAGAAATTAAAGATTTTGCAGCATTTGAATGCAACAGTTGTGCTGTTTTGCCAGGAAAACTTTTGTTTGGAATATAGATATATACACCAAACTTCCTTTGTAGATTTTGAAAATGAAGCCTAACAAAGTTAACATCCACTAAATCTATTCATAATATTATTTTGGTGCATTTTATATATTAACAGCTTTAATAAATAAATAAATAAATAAAAAATAAATCGTTATTTGGTTATGAACACTGATTTTCTGTCGATTTCTGGCTATATTCTCAAAATATTAATACTAATAAATTTGTATTGTCGCCACGTGTCTCTGACGTGTAACAACTTCCGCCGCTGACGTCACTGCTGTCAGCAAAAAGAAAGCATGGCGGCGTCCTGTGCGCGAGCCGTGGGATCGTTTTTGGGAAAATGTGGGAATTGCGGCTCGAGTTTAAACCCGCTCGCGTCGCAGGTGAGCCGACAGGTAACGTGAGAGTTCCTCTTTGATAAACTAATACGTTGTGTACGTAAAACAAACGTAAAACGCGCAGAACACGCAGACGTCCTTGAGTCAGCATCCTCTTGCAGCTTCTGTTAGCCGAAACCTGCCTTACAGATGTTTGAATTAAAGGTTAAACAACGCCGCGTTCACTTTTATCGGGCTGTGGTTGACTTTGTGATGACTTAAGTTGAATTGTTGAACCCTTAACGTGAATTCGGCTATAGTTTGGGGTCAGTTGCCTCTCTGGATATTAAGCAAGTTGGCATAATTTGGCACTCCTATACTCTTATACCCACCCTGTATATAAAGTATGCTTTACATTAATGCACCCACGTTCTTCTGC